ATTATGGACTCTATGGTATTTTAGTTAAAAACGTCTTAATGCTGGATTTGATTCAGCTTTTGTCTTCTCCAGATGTTAACTGATGGACTGGAGTGCTGTGGATTACTTGTGGATTATTGTGATGTTTTTATCAGCTGTTTGGACTCTCATTCTGACGGCACCCATTCACATCCATTGGTGAGCAAGTGATGCAATGCTACATTTCTCCAAATCTGTTCCCATGAACAAACAAACTGTGCTTTTGGCTGTTATGTTTGGTATTGTACAATTTCTCCACCATCGAGCCCGCATGCGACTCATGACCTGATGCGGGTGTTTTGGTGAAGCTCTGGTCAAGTAAATGAACTGTGACTATCGTGTCCTCGAGGACGGCACTTCAAAGCGCATCGCAAGTTGCTTGGGATAAAAGCATTTATCATTTTTATGGTGGCACCAGGACATGCACTTAGTAATCGTTAACATCACTGTGTTTGTTTAGTATAGCGGTGCATTTTTGGTTTAGCATCCAAAACCTTTCTTTTAAATAAAACAATATAAAAAAGTGGTTCTTCTCTGTCCACAGCAATATTTGAAGGCCCTAGTTTTGTTTTCCAAACGTATTTTAATATTTAGAGCTGGGTTATTGTCGTTAACTGGAAATAAAACTATTTAAAACGTTTTTGTTCTAAACTGAAATAAAATATAATTATTAGATGAAAAACATAAACTAAGTTAAGGTTGTCTTGGCAACTAACAAATACATTTAAACTGAAGCAAATAAAAACTAAAAAATTAACTAAAACTTAAACTGTAACTGAAATAAAAATATATAAAACCTAAACAATAAATTAAATATTTTTATTCATTTAATTAATTGCAATTAACTGAAATAAAATAAGTTGAAGTACTAAAATTAGTCAAACTAAAACTGAAATATAAACAATTAATGCTATATAGAAATATAAAAAAAATGAAAATGAAAAAAAGCACATAACAAAATTACTAAAAATTAAACTCAAATGAAAATGAAAACTATATATATATATAAGCTAATCAAAATTTTAATAAACGCTCTAACAGTATAGAAATAATAGTAAAATAACACTGATACACAGACAGAGACTCCTAGTTTCTGAATATTAAAACATAAATAATTTTAGTAGCTATTTAAATAATAACATTTCAGGATTACAGAAGATTTAAAAGCTAGATGTTTTTCAGGTTGATTTTTAACCTATGAATTTACAATACTGGAAAACTTTTCTAGTTGTCTGTGATAAGGATTAAGCATAAGTATTTTATACTTTTCAGTTTATTTTAATTTTTGTACCAGCTTGGCATAACTAAGTAAAATAAAATGCACTTTTATTAATTTCCATGGCTTTTCCAGTTCTAGAAATCACTCTTTTTAAGTAAGACTTTCTTATTTTTACTGATTTCAAAACCACACGGCTCTTCAAAGACTAAAAGCTGCTGTGGATGGGGTGAATTAAAACAAGAAATACCTTGATTTGTAGTTGTTTGAGCTCATTTTAACGCTTGTTTTGTCTTCTTTTAAATCTTGAGTTAAGAAGCGCTGTTTGAAATGTGTTGATCGTCTGCTGCAGGGGTCCTGCTCCTTCTGCTCCAGCTGCAGTTTAGTCAGAACAAACCCATCGACTTCATCTGTGACCCAGAGGTGAGGAGACGCATGGATGTGACGGAGGCGCTGGAGACGCTCACGGTACACGCATGCACGCTTGAACACGTGACATATCAAAGCCTGTACAGAGACACTAAACCCTGCTGTTACAGACGCACTGCTTGGACCAGCTGCCCTCGGCCGTCCTGCGGCCCTGTGTCCGGATAAACATGGCAGCGTGGAAACAGACGTCAGTGAGTACAGCTCCTTCATCTAACAAGAAAAGAGTCAAACCAGAAGAAAAACATTGACATTGACTGAAATAAAGTAAAATATAAAAAAAACATATTATTTTATTTTTACAATTTATTTTATTTCTGAATTTAAAATTTAATTTAATTTAATTTAATTCAATGTTTTGTTTTATTTAATTTCTTATTTTTTAATTTATTTTATTTCTTATTTTAATTTTGTTTTATTTTATTTCTTATTTTAATTTTTTTATTTAATTTATTTAATTTCTTATTTTTATTTTTTTATTTTATTTCTTATTTTATTTTAAAATTTATTTTATTTCTGATTTTTCTTTTATTTTATTGTATTTTATTTTGTTTTATTTTATTTAAAAAAAAAATTCTGATTTTTATTTTTATTTTTATATATATATTTTTTTTAGCTAGTTACCAAGGCAACATTTCTCATTTTTATTTAGATTAACTTAATGCTAGACTAAACTAGAACCATTTAACATTTTCATTAATTGAAATAAAGTAAAATATAAAAAAACTTTATTTTATTTTATTGCCAAGGGAACATTTCTCATTTTTATTTAGATTAGCTTAACACTAGATTAAAACTAGAAACATGACTTTTCAGTTTATTAACTGAAAAAAAAAAACTTTTATTATTTTATTTTATTAGCAAGGCAACATTTTCCCTTTTTTTTAGATTAACTTAACACTAGACTAAACTAGAAACATAAAACATTTCATTAACTGAAATAAAGTAAAATGTAGAAAATTGGTAGTTGCAAAGGCAGCATTTCTACTTTTTTACATAAAAACTTTTTAAGTTAATGTTTAACTTAAAACTAAAATAAATAAAGCCAAAAATGAAAATTAAAACCAAAATTAATAAAAAATACAGATATATAAACAAAAATAATAATAAGAATGACAAAACACAATAAAATGACAAAAACTTTAACTAAAATTTAAATGAAAACAGAAAGCATGAAAATAAAAACTAATTCAAATTATTAATAAAAAACTAGTAGTATCTCAATTACACTAAAATACCACATTATACTAAAATAATACTGTAAAATAATGATCTGTTGCAGTAATCTATCAACTTCATTCCCTCAAAACTACAACCTGACATTAGAATATAATGTTCAAGTGCAAAAGCTTGGCAAGAACACGTATATTATGGAGTTTAACAGCAATAACTGTGTTTGGTGTGAAGTTACTCATTCGAGACACACACCCATCAGTTCCAGCAGAAGCAGGCGTTTGTACGCGACTCTCTGGACGCTCTTCTTCGCTCTCTGAGGAACGTGAAGGAAAGTTCGTCCGCTTCATGTCAGACGGATGTCTTGAAGACGCTGGAACGCAGTGTGAAGAACCACCTGCTCATAGTGGAGCGTCTGGAGCGACAGGTGAGCGAGAGACCGATCCGACAAAACCACTTCAATTCTAAACATGCGAAACGTTCTGAAAACACTAGAAAGTCTGTGGCGCATCTTCATTTAGAATGCTACAGTTGAGGTCAAAAGTGTACAGAATTAGAATTCCAAAAAGTTTCGGAATCTTCAAAATGTTACTTATTTTACCAAAATAAGAGGGATCATACAAAATGCGTGTTATTGTTTATTTAGTACTGACCTGAGTAAGATATTTCACATAAAAGATGTTTACATATAGTCCACAAGAGAAAATATTAGTTGAATTTATAAAAAATGACCCGTTCAAAAGTGATTTTTAATACTGTTCAGGCAGTTTAACTGTTCAGGACAAACAAGGGACTCATGAACAACTATCACTAAACTAAAAAACACGTGTTGTTAGCTGAATGATCCACAGCTGTGTTTTTTTGTTTAGTGATGGTTGTTCATGAGTCACTTGTTTGTCCTGAACAGTTAAACTTCCTGCTGTTAGATCTGTCTGCTGCTTTTGATACGGTGAACCACCAGATTCTCCTGTCAACCCTATTGGAAAATGGCATCTCAGGAACC